GAATATCTATCATTCGCAATGTGTTGTAAAGCTTAAACTATTGTATAAATTATTTCATCACTCATTGAATGATAATTGATATCAGTGATAAGATAAACGTAAATGTGTAAACTGTAGTATATATTTGTTGTTGAATTATCTATTACTGTACATATTTCTGAATGTTACCATTCAAAATAGGATAATTCAAGCAAACAAATATATTTTATTTTGGATTAAAGCATGCTTGACCTCAATAGTTATATCACGATGATTAAATCACAGTAGAAAAAAGAAAAACAAACCGTGTTGACCTTGCCTTGATGGCAATGATGTCTGATAATCAGATATGCTTCGATATTACCCCATTCTGTTTCTGTTCCACTAATTTCAAATGTGCCATCATGTCGTGGTCGTGTAGAATTTAATTTGTCATCAAAGAATGAAATTGAATCCAAGATATGTCACATATTATCAAATTACTTGTTGTCAAATAATAACTTATTCCTTTATTTTTTCGAAAAAAAACATTGAAATTTTTGATAAAAAATGAAATATGCTCAATATAATAATTATAATTAAAGATATTTAAATGTCCCTAAATGTCATCAACAAACTTTTATACATTATACTTTTTGATGCTTCTTTCAACGTGTCATCGAATGGTTGCAGATTTCATTGGAATTTCAATTTTATCTGGAAGTCATGAGAAATCCTAATTGAATTTATTTGAAATTTACTAGCATCTTTTTCCCAAAGTTCGATATGAACATCCAGAGTATGTGTTTTATCCGCGCATCCAATTTCCCCGCATACAGTAACCCGTTGTTGTTTACCGAATAGGAAGAATCCGTTAGTTCGTGGTAATAATAACATGAATGTCATCAGAAGTTCCATCAAAGCTCAAATGAATCTGTAGTATTTCCTTCATAAATATAACTTGGATAGATGTATGACCATTATTGATAAGTGACACAATGAGTTGAATGATTAGATAGTTTGGTTGTTCTCAGATCTAATTGGTCATCTTTGGTTGTTCATTATCAGTTTTCGTTTATATCTATCCAAAGCTCAAGTTGTTTAATGTCATACTGTTTTTTTTTCTTTTACTCTTTTGAAGTGTATTTCTTTGGAAATGTGAAAGTTGAAAGAAAAATTTTATTAAATTGAAAATTATATTGCCTTACTTTCGGTATCTTTTGATTTAATAAAATTAGCTTTGCTTTTAGCTCTTCAATTTCAAAGATTGCTTGCAATTATCGCCATCTTCTTATAATTTCTTGGGAATATAAAAGTATACAGTTATCGATTGATCTTCAATGTTTAATTGAAATTATATGCTTTAAACAAGCACATTGACATATTTCAAGAAAAATTTTCCGGCTTTTTAAAACTTACACGAATCTTTTGTAATTTAGTAACCATCACAATTGCGCACATCTTGTGACAACATTCTTGTGACAATCAATAATTTGTCATATCAAAAAAAAAACCTAACATTGAAAAAAATTACAAAAAGAATAATCGATAAAAAGTGGCGGTGAATTGGTAAAATGAAAATATTTGATGAAATTTTAATTTGAATGAATATTTTTTGTTGTTGTCTATTAAAAAAAAAAAGAAACATATGAATTATGAGCGGAAGCAATTTATCGTCAAAATATCTTTTCTTATGCAACAAAAATTTTAATGCTTTTTTAATGACATTTCATTTATTTGAAGGAAGTAATTTCATTTAATAATATTTAGGATATTTTACCTTTGAATTGTTTAAAATTAGTTAGAAATTTGGATTACTAAAATGATACAATAATGGTTAAAATAATTTGATTGTATATGCAAAAATGTTTTATTTTAATTTTGTAAATCAATTCCTTTCAAAATATCATAGTTTCGCAGTTTTTTTTTTGTGGTAAATGTGTAAACTTTTATCAATCATGTCAATTTAATCAATTTATTATCTACTTAATTAGTTATTTGCATTTCAATTATCATTATCAACAATACAATTAATATTTATATCGTGAAAATGAATCACAAATTATTTTCAGCTTCCTAAAGTATGCTTGAGAGTAAAGAGGTCAACTAGAAAGGTCAACAGATTAAAAGATATTAAGTTTACTTTAAATCATTAAGAGCATTCTGTATACTGCTATACTATTTATTTGCATAAAATTATACCGTTACTAGATACAGGTAAAGTAATACAATCATCAGAGATAGCTTAATTTAATTTAAAACTAAAATAACTACAATGATATATATGCGATGACGATAACACATTATTATCATTTACATGTATCATTTACATCCTTTGCTAAAGTTCAACATTGTTTTAATTTTGGAAAAGATAAACTTTATTTAGTGACAGGTTTTCTTGTGATTATTTCGAGCAATATTTAAACTAACAATTCCCATTTGATAAGTTTTATCAATTCGATCAGCTGGAATTGGAAATTCATCCACAATGACACAATGCTGCAAAAAGAGATAAAACAAATTTGAAGTATTTTAGGTGAGAAAAAAAACGAATCTTTGTAATTTTTTTTTTTTTTTTTTTTTTGAACAATCTCATTTAATTGTTATATCGAAAATTTATCCGACATATTGAATGACTCAGTCTAATTTGTTGTTTTTTTTTTTTTTGAATAACTTCAGATGATGACTCATCCGTTGAAAAATTACTTCATTAAGTACACCATCCTCGCAATTATGGGTAATCCGCAGGTATGGTTCAATGCCACCAATCTCACATTCCTCACCATACACCATGAAGTATCCTTTGCTATTACTTGTAGTCTTATTCAATGAGTCATCCGGGTCAACTGAAATTTCATTCAATGCTTTTTATAGCAAATGTAATATTTTTGGAAAAAGAAAATTTTTTTTTCTCATATTTTTGTACAATAATAACTGAATTATAATAACTGAACAATAATAACTGAATTAATAACTGAATTGAATAATAACTGAATATTTTTGCACAATAATAACTGAATTTAATAACTGAATTATAATTGAATGAAATTATAGCAAACAATGTTCAATTTGAAATTTAAAAATTAATTTAAATCCTCAAATAATGCAAACTTACGACTATCATGTTCACGTAATTCCACTACCACATTCTTTAATGCTCGATCACCACAACCCAATTGTCCTGTTACCGTAACATTATTTAGAGTACAGAGTGCAGTCAGAATTGTTGGACAACTTACAAGTGAAAACAGGAAAACTACGGCATACAACATTTAACCTATTATGTAAATAATTAATTTTTGAGTGGTTGGTGATAGTCGTAGACAAGCAATAATCATAAGGTAGAAATGATTACAAAATGATTAAAAGATAAGTTAGACGAATAAATGATTCATTAAATGATAAGTACATGAATAGAGAATATGCTTTGAGTCGTATAACATTTACGATAATTTTTTTATGATAAACTTTTTGGATAATTAAATCTGAAATACTTCAAATTAAAGTAATGAAACTATCTACCACTAATTAATTATGACATCATCCAGGTGTTTTTACTTAATGTTTACTGTTACTGATGGAATATTTACATTGTTTATGATGAAAAAGGTAAGATAGTGGTGAAATTTTTATTAAAGGCTGAAAAAATTTTTCATTGTAAACAAACTTTTTTGTCCTTTGATATCTAAAAAAGTTTGATGAAATTTCAAAAAATTATTATTTCATATTTATGCTTATAAGTGATAATATTCGAGTGTTAAATATAATTTGATTCTATTAATGATTTCGTATTCTTTCTCAAAATTGATTTAAAATTGACG